GTGACCCCACCCACAAGGGTGTAGGATGCTACTGAACTCACCCCCAAGGGTGTAGGGTGCTGGTGACCCCACCCACAAGGGTGTAGGATGCTACTGAACTCACCTCCAAGGATGTAGGGTGCTAGTGACCTCACCTCACCCTACCCCACCCGTTTTTGTATAAAAAAAACAACTATTATGGTATTCTTTAAAATTCCAATACATCGATATTGTGGGGCCTCCGCTTTTTAAAAGTCTTGGTTCCCTTCTCCTCCTTGTTATTGGCATCTCACATTTTGCCAGCCCCTTCTATGGGGAAATTTGTACATAACGTTTGATTTTGTTTACCTGTATTATTTGTAGCGGCTGGTATTACTGGAGCTGTCATAACCCTTTGCCTCATTTTGATGGTATGTTTAAGTATGAGCTTAATTTAGCAATGTCGATTAGAACTAAACCACGGTTATAAAATAGCTAAGATGATACGCGCTTTCTAATTGGTTGATCAATGATCTTTTCATGAACTGACAAACCTACAGCTATATCTTATAGCACTAGACTGACTCTATAAGTTTGCAAGCATAGTTACCTTTCGTTTTTCTTCCCGAACAGCTTTCTTCTGCCACGGAACTAATCAGGTAATGAAGTTGTGTTTATGTTTTAGCGCTCTGATTTTCATGGTTTCGATGTTATCATGTTTAAGCGTAACTATCATGTTAAGTTCTTTCTTCTTTACAGGCGGTCGTATTTTGAAGTGTTTTGGTATAACCATCATCTGTTTGTGATCTTCTACATTGGACTGGTTGTTCATGGAATACAGTAAGTATATTGACCAGTGTGGTGTGCTCTTTGATAGAATTACCCGTTAAGGTTAATCCCGAAGGTATTTCCTCCAGGACTGCAGCCAGGACCACGCTGCAATCCTTGCCTAACCGCAGCTAGATTCCCGCAATTCATTCCCGCAAAAGATTCCGCCGCGATCCTGCTCGGTACCCTCCAGTTTTTCCTGAACTGAATAAAATTGAATAAAATAGCATTTTATTGAAAAATATATAAGAACTTCCGTTGAGTATCTTTTGTTAAACTAATTGTTTGGTATGCAGTGATGAGTCACAGATGTCTGCTCAGGTATCTCTAATAGTAGAAGATAAATTGTTAGAGTATGGATGGGTATGGGTGTGGCTCGATCCTGGACCTTTCTATAACGCCGACAGATCGTTCTCCAATATCTGCCCACCGCTCGCGAAAAAAAAAAAAACACCTCTCTAGTACTAACAGATATTTATTCTCTCTAGGGGTGTGGTACGATTTCAGCAGAACATTGATGAACATGACCCTGAAATCTGCCACAAAAATTTGACCATGTGGGGCAAGGAGGGAGATTGCAAAGCACTTCCCAAATTTGTTCCTTTTGGAATGAATGTGAGTGACTCAGTCGTGTGTTTATTCACTGTCAACTTTTGCTTGGGATGTGTGAGTTCAATTGCCATTGAGGGAGTAGTCGTAGAAGCAGCTCTTTTGGGAGAAGGGGTTAACTATTTTGTTCGTAGTCATCAAATTATGGTGATCGCCTAAGATTTACAATTACTTAATGATATTCAAACAAGATTTTTGCGAGTGGGTAAACTAAGGGAAGTCTGAAACTCGCAGTAAGCCACATCCTTTACCACGCTTATTATTATTAAATCTACCTTTATCGTTAATTTTTCACAAACATCTCCCTAAGTATATTGTAAAACAGTAAAGTGAAAGAGACAAGACATAGAAGATATGAGAGAATCTAGTCCATTACCGTCAGATTACTGCTACTGCTCTACTGAAGCTCTACCAGTGAAAAACAGGGGATTTGTGGCGAGCCAGGCCATCCATTAGCATGCTGATAGGTTGATCGATTTCGAATTTGTCTGGTGTGACGAAAGATAAAGTCACAGTCATAGATTTTACGATCCTATTAGTAGAATGTTACTTGTAAATGGCTTTATCATCTACAACTTCTTTATCGCTCAGTTGTCAGAGTATCCAAACGCGAAATCAGAAAGTCTGAGATTCAATTTAGCAGAGTAGACCCAGTTTTTTGTGTTACACTGTTTCGATAAATACGTAAAAATGTTTCTTGATTCGATGAGCACGCGCAAAATTGAACATCATTCCTTTTAAACTAACAATTATTTTCTCTTACAGACCTGGAAGTGGGTTGCTGGACCAATGTTCCTGTACCTCGTTGAACGTGGAATCAGATTTTATCGCTCATTCCAGACAGTTAAAATTATGAAAGTAAGCTCGACCGGTTTCCTGCTATTTGATATTTTCTATGAACGTCTGGAAACAGATGTCTTTGTGTATCCGACTGATATCATTTCTATAACTCATGCGTTAAAATCTCGCCAGCGGAGCCTCATATTCAATTAAATAAGGTATCCGTTATAACATGACACTTTGGTTTTCATGCGATGGTCCTCATTTCATGCGGACGAAAAGCCATATTTTATATGCGGAACAATCTGATTATGGATGCAACACAAGACAATACACATAGGCGAATAGATAAGTTTAAAGGGGATAAGTTTCTAAAGAAACTTCGCTCTGACGAAGGGCTAACGCTCGAAACGTCAGCTTTTTAAGCCTTTACGGTGGCCAATTTATAATTTCAACCTAGTTGATATTACCAAATTATGAATAGATAAGTAGCCTGTTCAAATTCTCATAATGAGAAAGGCACTTTAATTAAACCAACTGGAGTTCCGTCAGAAGGCTCATCAAATTTAGGCATTAATATTATTTTACTGTTTATCTTTTTTGTGATTGGTTATTGTAGCTGCTTTCACATGTACAGTTAGGAGTTTATCACATTCAATTTGAGAATTCCTCAATCAAATGACAGCGAGCTAATAGTGACTGATATTAACTGTCATGTAGGTAGTTAACCATCCATCTAGAGTTATCGAGATCCAGATGAAGAAAGCTGGCTTCCATCATGATGCTGGACAGGTATATTAGTTTTTTTTGTACTTGAATCATTTTTTCGAATTTCTTTTTCAGCGGAGATTACTTCATAGAGAGGGGTAATCATTGGCAGTTTTACCGAGCTGCTCTCTGCGAGGACGTATTTCTTACAAAAAGACAACGCAATATGATAAATTTTACATTTACATAATTATCAAAGAGCTAATGGCTCAGATAAATGAGCTGTTCGTTTTTTCCTATTTTATTCCAGTACATTTTTCTGAAGTGTCCCAAACTCTCTCATTTGGAGTGGCATCCTTTCACTTTGACATCGGTGAGTAAATACTACACAGAACTCTAAGCAGATGTTTTGAAGATAAAATACTCCTTTGATAAAAAAAATATTATTATTTTTTTTGTTACTTATTGTACTGTATATTGATGCTGTTTACATAGCAACGTGTTCTACTACGGGTCGGTTGTTAAGAAAGTTCGAACCCAGGGAGAATATTTACGCTTAGCGTCGTTTTGCCTCCTGTCACTAGATGTCCAGTTCATAAATAATACAGATAACACGTATAGAAGTAGGCGCCCATATTGTGTGTACTGTACTAACAGAACACCACGAACATTTCCTTTGCTCCTAGGCCCCTGAGGATGATTTCTTCTCTGTACATATTCGAATCGCTGGGGACTGGACAGGTAGGTTACTAATGTGAATAATTAACTGATTCACTCACTAAGTGTCTGACTGGTCTACTGTATGTCTGTATGATTGATTAATGCACAGAAGAACTAATTGACCAATCGTTTGACCAACTCTCAAGTTGATTGACTTACATCTGACTGATTGACGGACTAATAACCGACCTATTTGCCTAAAGAGTAACTTTTTGACTGATTGACCGAGTCACTGACTGACTGTTTGACTGACTGAGTCACCCGCTGATCAATTAATTGATTATTATCGACTGACATATCGTTTATAGGTGGACTGGCAAAACTTTGTAGCGGTGACGGAAAAGAAACAAGAAGCCTGGCTGATATGCCGAGGTACGTCTGTCGAGAAACTTGCTCTTTTCTTTGTATCTTTCTCGTCTCATATTCTATAAGTTTAGTGCGAGCGCAGCGAGGCATATCATATTAGGATCCTTTTGCGATTGGGGGCCAGACGACTAACATCTTGAAGTTTGCGAACGGGACTTAAAATCCAGAAATCAGTTTATAAGTTATACTTTGTATTTGCAGACTTGCAGTAGATGGGCCCTTTGGAACAGCTACTACGGTAAGCCTGAATTGATTTTGTATATGTTTTAATGGTCTTGTTAATTTAATATAACCAGAAAATTCAACTGATAAGACAAAAGGAGAAACCGATACTTCAGTCTTACGCTTGCGTGAATCTGGCGGCACAAAGGCTCCTTCGCATCCCTCGTTTTGTTTGTTTCTGTATTCATCTTTGTTATTGTTGTTTTCTCTATGTAGGACGTTTTTAAGTATCCCGTGATTATGTGTATTGGAGCTGGTATTGGGGTAACACCCTTTGCGTCTCTCCTGAAGTCCATCTGGTAAGTTTGACAAAAATGGTTGACATGTTTTTAAAATAAGGTTTTTAACGTCAAGTAACATTACAAGTAGCCGACAAAATATTTTTTTAGGAGGCAAAATGACATCTTTTTCCTTTCGACCGCAATTTTCATGAAATCTCAAGTTGATGTTATTTTCTACCTCCTCTCGTTAAAAAGATGAATAAACTTGTTAATAATTTCCTCTTCGCCGAAAAATGTTTTTTCTTAATACCTCCTCCCCCTAAAGTTCTACATTTGCTTATCAATTAGTGAGGAGGATTTTGTAATGTTGTCATTATTTCACCCAGCTGATAGGTTCATATGTTCTCTTCAACTGTTTGCTTGATAGTGTATTGAAATTGTAAAGAGAGGTGGAATGTTGATAACATGTATTTGACCAAAGTTTTGCTAAAGCGTGCTTGGCCCGGCTTATCTTACAGGTATCAGTATTATCAGGACAACGTTAACCCAGTGGTTAAAAAAGTGTACTTCTTTTGGATTTGTCCCGACACGAACGCGTTCGAATGGTTTACAGATCTTTTGCAGTATCTTGAAGAAAGAGTAAGTGATAGCTGAGCTCATGCGTTGCAAAATTCCATAACGGAGTCTCGTACCCTACAAGTCCTCTTAACCTATCTTTTTCAATAGAAATTTGGCTACATGGCCATAGATCACATGATTTAATGCGCGGTAAACGTTGCCAAATACATATGATGATAAAGCTTCGCTGAAATTAGATATTATTCTCTGTGGCCAAACTCTAGAATCAATAGTAGGCATGCGACAATCCTATGCATTAAGTTATCGATTGATGGTGTATGCTCATAAAGTAATAGCGGAAATAATGTAACATCGGAATACTCCAAAAAGTAAAAGAAATCATCACTTTGTGAGCATAAAAATATATTTGTCCAACGTAACGTAAGTGATTTCATATTGGAGGCCGGTTGTCTGACGATCGGGGGCGAGTTGTCTGGGGCTAATTGTCCAGGGGGCGAGCTGTCTAACATACATATATACATACCTACATAAATATATATATATGTGTGGTAGGCAAAAAAAAAAAAAATAGATATATATTCCTACAGACCTGTTTCGTGGTCGCCCACTCACCAGGGGATTTTAATGGCAGAATAATGCAATACCATCGCTTATATACTTTAGTAATTGCTAATTAACATGGTTTATGCAGTATGAAAAGTGTCTAGTCAGCTGTTGCGTAGGGGGGGCTTTGTTTCTGTGCCGGCAGGAAGAGAGGAGTTCGTTACGCTTGTTGAGTGTTGATAGATCTGGGTGGCAGATGATCAAGAATTTCTCTTTAAGGCAAAGGTTGCATCGTTTGCTTGCGCTGTTGTGGGGCAGGTGGAAATTAAAGTGAGGAATAATTTATCCAACGTGATTGTAGTTAAGGAAATTCTCGAGAAATCTTAACGGAAAATGGTTCAATTCAATTCAATTCAACAAAATTTGAAAGCATTTCTGGTGCGATCCTCTATCGATTATGCTTTGCGTCATTTTCATTGGTATATAGCATTTAACCAATGTCTACATTTTCAGATGGTGGAAACTGGAAATGGAGAATTCTTGGAATATAACATTTACCTCACCAGAGGTTGGGGTCCAAATATGGTAAGTAAAGTTCAGGCAGGCTATTTTATAACGATATAAATTCCAAATAGCCCTCATTTCCTCAACACACTAATCACTTTATAACATCATTCCTAATCTGTCCTCAGGCCCGCACCATTGTTCTACACGAAGATGAGGAGACGGACATAATCACCGGATGTAAACAAAAGACTCGCTATGGTCGACCAGAATGGAACGGAATCTTTGGCGGAATTGCTCGAGCTCATCCAAGGTATGTAGTTAATGCTAATAGAGAGGAAATCAAGAAGGGTGGAGTTGTTTCACTCGTAACGGGGAGGGTCAAAGTGTTTGAGAGTTTTTTTTTTTTTTTTTAATGTTTATGACGATTTGACAAATCTCGTTCTTTAATATTGCAGAACAAACATTGGAGTATTCTTTTGTGGTCCAGCTGTCCTTTCACATCAGCTTCACCAAACAGCCAATGCACATAGCAATGTTGTTGAAGGAACAAAGTTTTACTACAACAAAGAAAATTTCTGAAGCTTTGGACGCGATTACTTTAAGCAATTTTCGAAGAAAGCAACATTTTTCACCTTTGTTTTATCATAGAATAATCTAATACTTGTTGATTGCAGTTTTTTGTTGCTGTACAAAATTAATAGAATTTAAACATTTAAAGAATCCACAATACACAAGGTAATAAAAGCTACTTTTCAACTTCAGTTTCTTAGATCGCATAAAAACATTGAGTGGACGTAGTTTGTTACTTCGTATTTGACGTTTGCATGACTGAATGAATCATCGTGTTGATGTATTCCTCTAGCCATAAAAATTCAAGGCTTTGTTAGATAATTTGCTTCAGTAGTTCTTTTAATCATATTTATTAAAAGTAAAATTGAAGTATTTAGTTAACGTGATATTGTAATTTTATTTCCTAGGAATGTAAAATAAATTTAAATACACCCCATGAAACTTTATTTTTCTATTTATTTGCGTTCTTTTAGAAAGAAATCGTCGGACCTTAAAATTGTTTGTAATATCTAGTGAGTTAATTTTTTGTAACGTTACTTACATTGTTCGTAATGTTGTAGACCTAGGTGCATTCAATAAAGAATTCCCTTTCATATTTTTTTAAATAAAGTTCTTGCACTATAACCATGGAAGTGGCAATTGATTCAGGTTGAAATTAACCCAAAAAGATGTTTTTCAACAATAAGTTGAATCCTTGAATTTTCCCTCAGGCAGACTAGCTTTCATTATGTAACTATCCAGGTATCGTTTATTGTCGTGACATACAATCTACGAGACTTTTCAAAACGGCTGCAAAGGAAACTCCAACTATCCCAAATAAGTAAGCGCTGGAAGCTAGATTCGGTGTTACAGTTTCGTTATGAAATTGGCCTGAAATGTCTTTCAGGTAGAAGTTTTTCCGCTTGAATTGATTGCGTGACCCAGACTAACGTAACAAGATGTTGTTTTACTTCTCTTTCTTGCGTTCTTCTCTGAAGCTCTGTGAAGCGACAAAGGTCCCTAAGCAAAGAGAAGTTATAGAATCATGAAAAGCAAGGCGCTATAGAATCACCTTGTTAGCGAAATAAAATGAAAAGCATTTAGTAGTAATCACCTTTCATCGAAGACGACATGTGTCACTTTGCTGTCAAAACTGTCGCTGATCTGTGCACCGTAAATGCGCAGTTTCAAACCAATAAGCTCCAAACTGCAATTAGGAATTCCCTAAAAAAAAAAAAAATGACCACAGGGGAACATTTGAAGAAGTTTGTTTAGTTGCTTTCTACGGCCTAAAATCTTGCGCTTTTAAAATGTGGCAAAATAAGCGCCGATGAAAAGGAACAGGCAATGAAGACTAGCTGATTCAATTATTGCTCAGCTGTTGGGGCATTTATATAAAGTGAGGTTTCGCCTCGACTCAGATTGGTTCCTAAACAGAAGACACTCTCTTTTCAGACACCCCTATCCAAAGATACCTTCACTTAAGAAGCACAAACTTTGACCTCGATTGACAACAAAGCCTCTACGACCCTTGCCCCTGTTAACTTCAATGAAAGAGATACCGCTGTCCAGAGCCGGACATTTTGGAGCTAAAAGCTCACACTCACTCACCGTTGATTTATCCCCAATCACAGTGAACTGATCAAGGTACACTCTAAGAAAGAAAATAAAATCCTCGCGAAAACAAAGTTAACATCAGGTAATTAATGAAAATAATCAAAAGACACAAACATAGTTAGTCGGAATGTTGACAGCGTACATACACAATCATTAGGAATTCCAGTTTGGTAAAAAGCTTTAAAACGGTAACATATAAATTATTTTAATATCTTAACTTTTTTTTCAACGGATCAACTGCACCTCCCTAATTTACCTGCAATGTTTGAACAAACCAAAAGGCGAGTTATCGGAAAAATAACGTTGAGATATTTCCAGTATTTCATCGGTTGAAAGAGGAACTGCTGAGTTCTATGAAGCAAAAAAGAAAAAGGGATGAAAAAAAGAACCTCCTTACCAAAGTCTCTACACAAACGGAAAAATGAGAAGAGGGACGCTGGGAGCGAGTGTTGTCCCTCCTTTAAGTGTCACGCTGTGAGAAATTCGGAATTCGTGGACATTCATACCATTCAATGATTGGATAATTCTCTCCGAAGGTTTCAACAAAGATTTGACGATCTTTCACTTTCCGTTTGTAGTATCATAATTGTTTTCAACAGAATGGAATATTTAGCTTGAGTTTATACCAGTATCGCCAAATAAATCGTTCTTTACCTTGCTTTGAACATTGTTAAACACTTTTCTGAGTGACTCAGCTGTGGCAAACTCTGTGTAACTGTCTCCATGTTGATCAAACTCCTCGGCAAATTTATCCGCAGTTCGGGACGAAGAATGAAACATATCACTTGGAATCCATGGCTCAAGCTCGCCACTTTCCTTTTGAGCAACAAAAATAGTGATCTTGATTGATATAAAACTGAAATAAATACCCTACAAGATTGAGTGCATCCCAAAGAAAGCGATGGGGCACATGTTTAGCAACGTTTACCGTGCTGGAATCAGCAGCGAGAAGTCTGGGCTCGAAACCTGACTACGTCGATGTGTTCTGCTCTGAGGCGAGGCAGTTTACCCGTGCACTAGCCCTCTCCAGAAAAGAGTATACATGTACATGTAAATGCGTTGCAATCGACTGTCAGAGAAGTATGACGAAACGATGAGGTTATACCTGCTTTAATTAACAAATGGTAAACACCACAGCGTACATAATTGAGTTATGGATGCACGCGGGAGGTTGCTAAGCACGAAAGAAGCGTAAGAGTCGCTCGAGGCGATAGCCTCGAGCGACTCTAGCTTCTTGAGTGCTTAGCAAACCTCCCAAGTGCATCCATAACTCAATAGTGTACGCTGTGGTGTTTACCATTTGTTTTATAACATAACATTGATACATTGTAGCTAAAGAGTTCCCTTTTATTTAACAAATCTTACGTGACCATGTTTAGCAACGTTTACCGTGCTGGAATCAGCAGCGAGAAGTCTGGGCTCGAAACCTGACTACGTCGATGTGTTCTGCTCTGAGGCGAGGCAGTTTACCCGTGCACTAGCCCTCTCCAGAAAAGAGTATACATGTACATGTAAATGCGTTGCAATCGACTGTCAGAGAAGTATGACGAAACGATGAGGTTATACCTGCTTTAATTAACAAATGGTAAACACCACAGCGTACATAATTGAGTTATGGATGCACGCGGGAGGTTGCTAAGCACGAAAGAAGCGTAAGAGTCGCTCGAGGCGATAGCCGAGAGCGACTCTTACGCTGACAAATCTTACGTGACCAGAAAAAACAAGCGCGCGCGGAAAAATAGTCTTTGCATTTGCTCACGTCAGCAGCGTACACCCATGGGCAAATGGGGGACGCTAAATTGACCAATCAGAGCGCGCGCTTTACTTTGGTTATGTTATAAACTAACATACTAACCCGTAGAAGCAACCGGGAACAGCTGTAATATCTATGCGAGTAAGTCTCGTTTGTAGACTTTCACTTTTCAAAGAAACCAAGCCCTCCTATGAAAGTCGAACCTTAAGCTTCAAGAAAGGTTGATAGATTTATCAGTAACAATTAGCTAGCGGGGGAATAACCCTTCAAAAACTTTATTCTTGGTACATTCTACAGACTGGTTTCATTGACACAATCTACAAACCTGAGGTGTTCCGACTTACCAAGCATTTAATAAGCCAAGATGCCTTCACGACATCGTATTTGTTCTGACTAACGGGAGGAAACAAATTACAAAAGCATTAACGTGTAATTCAGAACAATGAGAGCAATAGGGTTAAAGAAAGAATCTAATGCAGCTCCAGTATTACATGGAACATCTACTGTAGACATGGCTAATGTTTTTAATCTACTGTATAAAACCCTACCTGATGATATTCTTAACTCTAACGTTGATTCTCTCCGCCACAACACAGAAAGTGTCAGAACCAGGGTTCTGAGTCAATGTGCCTCCATTCTGTGGACAAATTATTTAACAATACGCGACTCAACAGAAATTGGTGAAAAAAAATATCGGTGCGCGTGCACTCAGATAAGCGTGTTATTCACCACGGCGGCAGTTGCGCGAAGGCCGATTTGGGCTAACTCAGGTTTAAATTTTAACTCGGGTTTCTATATTTCCGGCTCTTTTCAGGAGCCGTTTTGGGATAATTTTTCCACTTTTTTTTAGAGCATTCAATCATCAAATTGTAGACAAATGGAATTAAACTGAATTTTCTTTTAAAGCTTTCAGATCTGAAGTTAATTTTCACACTAAGCCTGGGTTATCTTAACATACCTTTGAACAACTAGGCTCAGGTCTTGTATCAAAGGTTTAGGGTCACGTGACAATGAAACCGCATGCCTCCAGGGTTTGAAAGTCAGATATTTTAAAATGAAACTGATTAATGATATTACAAACACAAATACAAAATACCTCGGCAACTTTTTTTTCTAAGACAGCCTTGGCATGCGAGGAAGGACCATTGACAATATAAAATTCCTTATCCCGGAACATTTGCGAAACCTGGAACACGAGTTTCATGATCGATTAGAAGTTCTCATTTTAATCAGAAGACGGACATTTACCAAACTGCACCAGTGACTAACCTCTTCAACTGATGACACATCCGCCGGCTTGAAATGTTTGGCCACTGTCCGTGATTGTTCAACCCGTGCAGCCTCTCGCCTTCTTTTCTTGGCTGGTTCAGATTTCTGTCCTACATTTGCATGTTGGTATGTGAGCTTTCCCTGTGCCACCTATTAAATACAAGTAACCAGTAGGAATAGAGCAAGTAATCCGGGATTGTAGAGGCTTTGTTTCCACACATTCTGTGATTGGTGTAGAAAACTCGCGCCTTTCTCTCGACCAATCAGATGCAAAACTAACACCAAGCGCGGCCTGGTCACCAGGATTTTCCCGCGCTCACGAAAGTCTGCTCGTTATTTTTTCAGTTTCCTACGGATAGTTTCCTTAGTTTAACTGACTGTCGTGATTATTTTGGTTTTCGTTTTATGAAACTCAATCGCAATGTGCTCGAGCTCGCTCCAAATCTTAGACACACAATTAAGTTCAAGCTCTCTTGACGGAGACTACAGACACAAACTTTACTTTCTCTCACCGATTTCAGCCTGGTCAGTTCGTTAAGGTCCAAACACTCGTACCACATCTTGTCAGTGCGAACGGCTTCCAGCCTTGGAAAGCGAAGAGTCACACCAGTTTTAAACCTAAAAACGAAAGAACACAAATATGTTTTCGGATCAAGGGTAATATTGTGATAGACTATGAGACAAGACCGAATGATTAGTGCACGTAAATTCAAATTAAGAGGCCTGGGTCCAAGGCATAGTCAGGTCCTTGTGTTGTGTCCTTGACACATACTTCTAACTGCTCCTCTCTTCATTAAGGAGTAGGAATGGGTGCCAATAAACTGTCACTAGAATCTGACGAAACGTCGGGGTGAGGGAGAGGAAGCATCCTATTCAGAGGGAGTGGCTTTAATACTTTGGAAAACTGGCCTTCAGTAGATTCACCTACGACTTTTTGGAAAGGCTCCTACATTAAATGCGTTATAGCAGCCCTGGTGGTTTTGCTATAGTTACTCAATGTTTAAAA